TCGTAGTATTACTCAGTCTACGTGTTCGTGGACGATGAAGTCGATTCCAGAGAGTTACCGGGAATCCCAGGAAAATTTCTTCGGCAGACGCGGGTTATCCTGACATATCAGTGTAGTAGTAAAGAAAGAAGAAGGTGCCAACGATTCAGTGCCAAAAGGTGGCTCATCATTCGACGACGAAGATAACGATATCGATTCGAGCGAACAAGAGGAAAAGCGCTCATTGGAAAAGCGATACTCGAGTATGGTTTCTGTCCATGTGATGGATTACTGTTCGCAGGACAGCGAACTTTTCAGACCCTCAAGCGGGAAAGTCAGCATGTGATCGTTATGCAGCTGTCATTAAAGGAAACATTCGGCGTTATTTAAACGGAAAGCATAACGTAACGAACGCGGCTGAATTTGTCGAAGCCTGTCACTCGTACAATGGAGTGAAAGGCGTACAAGCATTTGAATGTCACCTGTTGCGAAGCGAGAAAGAATCGACTGCGACTTTCCCGAAAATTACTTCCGTCAATAATTTCCGTTTCGAAAAGAACGGCATTCGTGTGCACCGAACCTGGAAAGTTGGCGGTGGAAAGTTAATTCCATGGAAAGATTTGAAATGGACCAATATACTCGATGAGCTGGTCTTTCGAACTATCAATACAACATCACACATCTGGGTTTACCGTGCAAAACGTGAAACCAAAAAGGAATCCGCAAAGGCGATATCCTCAGTTACTAAGTGTCTCCTGTCTGCAAATGTCTTGATTGACGGCCCGTAGCAGATGGCATTTCCACGCATCAATCGAGTTCGTGCACATTTTGAATTTTCCCAGTATTCGTTCGAGTATTTCTGGATCAAATTGCTTGCTCTCAGTTATGGCATCGTGTATTCTTTTCAATGTGCTAGCAGGGTTCTCACATTCGTTACACACATCATCGTGATGATGATCACACTTGTGCGCATAATCGGAGTCTCTCGCGACTGATAGTGCATAATTAGCACAATGATCCGGAATTGTAGAGGATTTATTAACATGAACCTTGTAGTCCGAACTTCAAAAACTTTGTACTTCACAAAGTTGACGCATGCATAAGAGTAAGAGATTGTGTGTGAGGGTTCTTTGTCTCTGGAAAGTTAATTCCATGGAAAGATTTGAAATGGACCAATATACTCGATGAGCTGATCTTTCGAACTATCAATACAACATCTCACATCTGGGTTTACCATGCAAAACGTGAAACCAGAAAGGAATCCGCAAAGGCGATATCCTCAGTTACTACCGCTGACATTACTGAAGTTGGGGAAGATGTGTCTCCTAACAAATTGTATGAATGTCCAGAAGACGAATGCACTGCAGCATTCGCCAGAAATGGAAACCTACTCAATCACATTGCGAATCGAAAGCATCAACGACGACCAGAACGGCATTCAATGCCAGATTATGCGATGCAGACGTATCATTCCAAATTGGAAGACATTGAGGAACGTCCTGTGACATCCATACTCACAGGATCACTCTGTTCCACTAAAATACGCTAACAGCCACTAACACCCCCAAATTAAAATCCGAGATAGCCGTTTGATAGACCTGTTCTTTGTGAATAAACAAACACCGAAAAAATTTATCTCAGAGAGGATTCTTTAGGGCTTTTCCAGTATGAACACCCACTAACACCCAAAAAAGTGACGCAAACATCCAAAATAATATGCCAGAATAATCACCATCCTTTTTTGAGCATATTAGATCACTTTTGAAGATTAAGATTTATTTAAGTTACTAAAGAGCAGGATATCACAAAAAAAGAAACAAAATCTTGTGGCATCCGTGGATAACCTGTGGTTACCTAAAACTAAAAATTTAAAAATATAAATAAGGAAATCTGATGAGAGCAGAGGTGGTCGGACCACTGAACTTTGGAGTGTGATGCTCCTGTATAATCAAAAATAATTTTTTTTCTCAATTCAAAATCACGTAGTTAGTGAATATTGTTCCTTTTCGTTAAGGTTTTTCGCGATGAAATACACGAAATGAAGTTTATTTCGACGAAATATTATATCATAACATTTGTTGACAAAGAACAAAGAAGGTTACAATACATATTTGACTATAACTCATTTTTCAATTATTATGAAATATGTTTTCGAAGAAGAACAAGGAGAATTATCAAAAAGCAAATAAAACCTATGCATATATGTATGCAAACAGCACTTAAAGTATACTTCGATAATATCATTTGTATTCACTATGCATTGCTGCATTTCTAAAGATAAAATATTGAGAATAAAACAAATATGTGCCTTAATCATTTTCTTTGTGTCAAAAAACTCTGTGATATTATTTCATCGAAATCAAGTCGTTTCGTGTGCTGCATCAAATATGCCTGAAAAAATAAAAAATTGATGTTTTGCTGTCAACATATACACCAGAATGTAGAAACAGACTGAATAAATTCGAAAGATAAAGACGAGGTGTCAACAGATTACATATTCAAAAATCAGCCTTGTCATCAACGACGACCAGAACGGCATTCAATGCCAGATTATGCGATGCAGACGTATCATTCCAAATTGGAAGACATTGAGGAACGTCCTGTGACATCCATACTCACAGGATCACTCTGTTCCATTGCAACGACTACCACGTGGATGGGCTTTACCCAAGGAAAGAACTCAAACTCGTTTGAATTCCGTACAAATTCGTTATCTAACCGACAAATTCGATCAGGGTTCAAAAGAGAAAATCCGCTGGAAACCAGAAGAGGTGGCTGCTGAAATGCAGCAGAGAAAACGGCCAGATGGAAAGTTTCTATTTTCATCGACTGAATTCTTGAAAACCGGCCAGGTCAGATCATTTTTCTCGCGTCTCAAGAACACTCGAAGAAAACTAGGAGCTGTACAAGAAATTGACGAAGAAGACAATGAAGAATTCAAGGACGACCAGACAATGACTGCAGTGGCACAGAGATTCAGAATACGAGACGCTATGGGAACAAAGCAACCTCCGCCACAGCCGTCACCGTCTCTTCCATCGAGAAATCGACCGCTGTCGCCTGGTAAAAGACAAATATCTACCCCTGATATTCCTCTAAAACGCTGGCTCTCGTCAAGGAAAAGAAGAAAAAAATGAAACAATTTTCAGCTAGATACGTAAAAAATCGGTCCTACCTGGCTTGCTTTGTAATCAGGACTATCGATTTCCTATGAAAAGTGTGTTTTCGTTTATTAGAAATAAAGTTTTTGGAAAAAACTGTCGTAGCGGTAGCGATGGTAGAACTGATTGTAGCGAATTTTTCGGCATGAGGCCCAGATCTTTGGACAAAGTTTCACGTCTCATTTTGTAGAGAATTGAAAGCTCTACAAGATGTCACAAAGTCTAGACTGCAATAACTTAACGATCGAGAGATAATTACGTTTTATGCGAAGAATTTCACTTTTCAAAATCATGAGTTTTCGCTTCATGTGAATTATAAAAATTCAGTTTCATGTCTAAAAAATGAAAAAGTAGCTTGGTCAATGCACTTTTATATGCTCTTTCGAATGAGACATTGCTTGGACAGAATGAACAAAATTTGATGGAGTTATTTGCAAAATACTGGAGATAGTGCTCTTTCGAGAAATCTTCGAACGACTTCACGGGGCTTTTCTGTAACTCAGTCAAAATAAGGTCTGAAAATTTAAAAATTGTTTCATTCCCACAGTTTCATGTGTAGAATCGAAGCCCCCAATAAAAGACATAGGTTGTAAATTTTCAAGTGACCGCTTTTTCGCTGGCCTGGCAAATCCCCTCTTAATATCTCAAAAAACTAATGAATATCATATCATTCCTCTTTTTTTCATGTACAAATGGCAGTATGTATCATACTTACTAGTCGAACCAGTTAGTTCTGTGTTAATATTGATATATGTACGATTCTAAATCTTCATCAATTTCTTTAATAACCTTTTTCTTGTTTCATTAGATTACATTCTCTGTTGCGAGACTTTTTTTTAATAACTTGAATTCTGAACTCTTTGTAAATTTTTTAAAAATGGGGCAAAACTTCGAAGAAACTAATAAAAAGATTTCTCCTCCAAAATGGCAAGTCCGATCCGGGAAAAAATTTCAGAATATGCACATTTCAAAGTGTCACATACAAATGGGTGAAATAACCCAATGGGAGTGGGGAGGGGGATCCCTTTAACAACCAGTGTGCTCGTATGTAACTGGATAAGTTTTCAATTATCGTCATCAATTGTATGATTATTGTCATCATAAGTATAGATTTCTTCTTCGTTAGCAAAACTCACTCTTCGACTAAGGTTATCATATCGTGTAGTCAACTCAAAATAAATGTACTTTGTTGTTAGATCGGGTAAATCATCCATCGATGTAAATTCAGCATAATCCATAAAATCATGTCTTTCTGTATCGTGATCGTGTTTAATATGGATAATAACATCATCTGTACTCATTTCGAATGCGTTTACTATTTGTTGACGTATGTCGTGAACATTTTTGAACGATGTTAAATGAACTATTTTACGATGATTATTAAAAAAGGCGAAAGCTTTACGAACTGGTCCAAAACCTCTAGAAATATAACAAATCTAAAGTTGTTATTCCATACTAAATGACGTTAGCGTTAAAATTCTCGATAGTACCATCTCATCCGCTTTTTCAAATCTACATGCCACCTAACACAATCCTAAAGGCTATTAGGTGCTTTTTATTATTTTTAGAAGTACAGTTCACTAAGATGTAGTCATTTTTAGTTTTCCAAAACAGGAGCCGCCCACCTCTCAAAAACGGCTGATGCGAAAATTTTTATGCAAAATGTTTTTTTCTAGAAAGTTATTGTTTTAGACATGATTCGATGCAGTATGATGTGTTGATTCTGAATATCGTATCTCCAAATGCTTGTGTACTGAGAAAAACGGAATCTACTTAAAAAATTCATAGGTTTTTTAAAATCTCGTAGCGGAGTCCAGACAAAAATGTGCATCTTTGTGTTGACACCATGGTGTTAACACAAAATTTATGTAAATGTCCTGCATCAGTGGTGCACCACTGATGTAGGACATTAACATAAACTTTCTAACCAAATTTGAAGCAGTTTGAACTGGTGCGGAACCAAAATATTACAAAACCAACTAACTGATCCCCGTAAATTATAACTATGAGAAAGCTACATCGACTGGTATACGAACGATTGAAAAATGGTTGCGGTACACCTTTAAAAACCATTTAGAATATCACTAAGTCCAGAATCAAAATTCAAATATTTTTAAAAAATTATGTTTTCTCAATTCGTTTTGCTTTTTTCTCAAAATCAAGAACATATAACAGCAATAACGTCTTGAATGGGATAGGTCTTAATCATTCAAAAACATAGATTTTTTTGTGATAAGACAATGAGGTGAAGATACTGTAAAACTTCCAATCAAGAAGCGGTTACTTATTATACTGTTTAACTACAACTTATCATGCTCGAGTGGGTTTAGCCGAAAAATATTTCCATCAGAATCCAAAAAGTACATCTTCGTACTAACGTGCTCGATTATTATCAAGAAATGGCATTTGGTGTGCCACTGTTACAATAATAATAATATGTAATGATGAATACCGGTTAATATGATCATGAGCTTCAGAATTCGGTAGCTGTTGCTCTTTAACGATTGGTTGAATGTTAGAAGATCTGCCACCCGTTGCCGGAGCTGTTCCTCGTTCATGTACCTTAGAAAACAAATATTAATGAGCAACCATATGAATACATGACATTCCTGTAACAGACTGCACGG